TATATATATATATATATATATATATATATATATATATATATACAGGGTGCGTCAGGTATTTGAGGACACTCACATATGTGGTTGGCACTTCATAACAATTGATTTTATTTTTTTTCTTTAGCTCAAATTAGAAATGGAAGACAATAAGCTAATTCAGGAAATGAAAAGACACGCTGTTATCGTTGCTATACACGCGAATCACAGCGATCTTGAAATCTCCCGATTTTTGAAAGTCTCCCGATTTTTTGTTAACAAAGTTCGTCGAGAGTTAGCAGCATCTGATGGCAATGTGGAAAGTGTTGCCAAACGTAAAAAACATGAAGCACATTCTGATAAAGTTAGAACATCACAGTTTGTGCAGAAAGTTCAGGGCATTATTGATGAAGACCCTTCAAAGTCTATAAGGGCAATATCGAAAGATCTCCAAGTTTCTGAGTGCACAATTCGTCGCATTATCCACGAAGACATCCGGTACAAGTCTTACGCAATGCGTACAGGTCAGTTCATGTCTGCACAAATTCGAGAACAGCGATTCATTCAGGCATAAAGACTCCCAAGTTAAAACATCCTGAAATCTCGGATATGGTGTGGTTTTTTCTGACCAAAAAAATTTTGATCAGGATCAAAAAATAAACCGACGAAATGATAGATGGCTCTGTGCAGATCCTTCAGATGTTCCTCGTGTTATGCACACAAAGTTTCCGGCAACTGTCATGGTTTTGGGGATGGTGAGCAATGAGGGACACGTCATGTCGCCCCATTTCCTTCCTCAAGGACTTCGCGTGAATGCCGCCGCCTACGTTGAGGCTTTGGAAACAGTTGTGAAGCCTTGGATAGACAGCGTGAGTGGTGGGAAAGCATACGTATTCCAACAGGACTCTGCTCCTTCACACAAAGCAATGAGAACGCAAGATTGAATGTCCGGGAATCTGCATAACCCCAAACATGTGGCCTCCTAGCTCCCCGGATCTTAATCCTTTAGATTATTATGTATGGGGCGTTGTTGAATGGGAGACCAATAAACATCCCCATAATACGCTTGATTCCTTCAGAGCAGCTATTACCAGAGTAATGATACATATGGACGAGGATCATTTTATTCGAGCATGCAAACGTTTTCGGCAGAGAATTGAAGCTGTTATTGCCGCTGAAGGAGATTTTATCGAATAACTGTATAGCCCATGGGCCACTTACTTTGCTGTAAAAGTTTCATTAAAATAAAACAAGTTTTCTAAAAAATAAACAAATTTTAGTTTTTAAGTCAATATGTCCTCAAATACCTGACGCGCCCTGTANCTTTTTCGGCGGAGAATTGAAGCTGTTATTGCTGCTGAAGGAGATTTTATCGAATAACTGTATAGCCCATGTGCCACTTTGCTGTAAAAGTTTCATTAAAATAAAACAAGTTTTCTAAAAAATATACAAATTTTAGTTTTTATGTCAATGTGTCCTCAAATACCTGACACACCCTGTATATATACCAGGTGTAGAAGTATAAAACCGGAATTTTTTTGTAAAAATTACACGTCTGTTATTTGAAAATGATAAAAAATATTTTATTCAAAATAATGTCCATTGCTATTTATACATTTTTCCCACCTCTCNCATTGCTATTTATACATTTTTCTCACCTCTCCGGCAGTTTATGAATGCCACCCCAAAAAAACTTTTCTTCTTTTGAAGCCAACCAGCTATCGAGCTATTTTCGTACATTTTCATACAAATTAAAGCGTTGTTCAGCGAGAACGTGTCCCATTGATGCGAATAGATAATAATCGGACGGAGCCAAGCCTGGAGAATAAGCCGCATGCGTTAGTATTTCCTAACTGAACGTCTCGATCGTTTCCCTGACCCGTTTTGCTGTGTGTGATGGGGCAT